ATAGTACCCAATCTGGTAACTACCAGATCTGGTATCTCATTATATTGTACCAAACCTGGTACTTGTTTACTGAAATCTGGTCATCTATAGGAATAATAATAAGAGACTTTAGGCATCCATGACTATGTATATTTAAATAAATTGATCTATATAATATTTTAATTAAAAGAGTTTTAAGTTACAAAATGTCTTCTGTGTTCATTTATAATTTGGTACTTGGGCCGTGTAAAACGAACCCTGAGTTAATGTGAGGCTGCAGACTGCCCTGGAAACACTAAGCAGGGGTCTGGGCACCACAATACTACAGACTGACCTAGTCAAATACTGATGGTAATCTTTAATGTATATGCTCCAAATGTTGAACTTTCACTTTGAAAAAAAGAAGAAAAAAAAAGAAAGAAAACAAAACAAAACTAGAATTACAGCATTGAAACAGAGGATCGTAGTTTCAAATTCCAGTATAAGGCAAACTTTCTTCTTTTTATCTCAGATCCTGTTAAGAAAGAAATTAAGTATCACTTTCAGTTCCATTATAGAGACTTATTTCAGATAACACGGATCAATATTGAAACGTATATCAAATGTTTGTGCAGACTCGAAATTGATACCTGAATGCCTAAACAGTTCATAATTGAGATGAATATCAAATAATTAAGTATGAGACTGGTAAAAATGTGAAACAGACCAAACCCTTTAAGACATAAATATTGATTTTCAATGTACAAAAACGGTTTGCAACACTAAAATTTTATTCACCGAATAAAATAAATCATACTTGAACCTTCACTCAAATTCAATATTCATTATATAATAATTTAAGATCGATAGGAATACGAACATTCAAATATGCAAAAACTGCAAGAAAATTAAAGGCAGTTATTGGATGTTTCCCAATTTATTTATTGCAGTTTGTTGCCCAAGATTCTACTTAATATACAGCTCTAGTATATAATTGGTAAGATCCAACGCTTTAAAACTATTGTACATGTAGAGGTAAAATAGCATTCGAATTAATGAATTTGCATCATCGATTTTATATATAAAAAATCGCTTGATTCTTCCGGTATTTAGCAGTGGGAGAATGTGCCAGGAAGATATATGCAACTGCAAATGCGTGTTAAAACAGTTTAATTGAAAACAATGATCATAAATACGAATTGACAATATTGAAATCGATTTAATGTCTATACAAAAGAATAAATGAATATAGATATACAAGTAAACAATATGGAATAAATATGCATGAAGTCGGTAAAATAAAAAAAAATCAAATTTGGCCCAAATACCTGTGCCGGTTTTCGGATAGAGGCACATCCGTGCATTTAATTATCTTGACCAGACGTCAGATACAATATTGACATAATAATGTTTGGCAATCCAGTATGCATCAATGAAAAACTGAACATTTAGAATTGTTTTCATTTCCCTAGTCCAAAATATCCATATCAAACCCATATTGTACTCCAGTAAGCATCGCTTTCATTTATTTTTGTAAAAACTAATTTCACATCAAAATTGTACTATAAATAAATATGTTTTACCAGTTATCTCTTTTACAAACTCAAGACTTCCATGAATGTTAAAAATTTCATCCATTCAATTTGACTTTTGAATTCATTCAGTATTATTGTTTTCGGCATTAGGCTTATACATGTATATTGCACTTCTTTTCTGTGTTACGAATAATTTCAGTTAACATTGAAGAGAACTGCGGTAAATCTATTAACAGCTTTGCGGGGGAGCTTACTAGTAAATTTGATTCGTCAAAATACAACTCAAAAATAGTTGGAGGGCAATGCCGTGTCACTGTCAAACTTGAGAGTTCGTTGTTCACATCAAAGTCACACGTGTTGTTCTATTTCACAGAGGTGAATCCATTTCCCTCCTGTAATGCAGGCAATATTACAATTCTTGATGGTGACAAGAAGTTGGCGATTAAAGGTTCGTACTTTAAAATATGTTTTACTTAAAGTCACAATATGCCCAAGATATGCTTTAAATTTTATTTCTCAAAAACGTTTTATTCTTTGGTTCCAAAAAGTTACTCCCGAAACATCTTTTGCAACTGTTGCTTTTGTCAATTAGTATAGTTATAGTGATTAAGTATTTTGCATGGATGTCAAAAATACAACTTTGTTTACAATTTGCTAAATGTATCAAACATTCTCTAAAATCATGATTTATACATTAAAATCTCATGCTTGCCCCTTCTAAAGATGGAAAAAATATTAATTTCTGAGGCATAATGTGTCTTTATATTAACATCTATTAGTAACATGATTTTAGAAACCTTCTGAAAGTAGACATCTGTAAATCTCGTGATTTATTAATTTTACTGGTACTTGGTTTCAAAGTATTTTTTGCTTTATAATGAATCTTTAATAAGTTATGTCATATTCTTATAACGAACTTCTGGTATTTTGGATATAATTATCTGAATTCGTGTCATAGAGGAATATTTAACAAGAAATGGATATTGTTCCTCATCATGTTTTATAAAGGGTGATAAAGTGTCATTCAAACACTCACCAAGTTTGAATTTTACATGACACATATCGTACCACAAATCCATTTTATAGATAGATGCCCTACTGGACATATTATTTTTTTCATAAATTTGCGCTATCTGCAGTTTGTTAAATAAATAAAAGTTTAATTAAATAAGTTTAAATAAACGTCACCAAACTGTTGTATATCATGTTTTTCTTGTTTCTTTTCAGGATTGCCTCGATTTCTTTGCGGACATCATCAAGAACTTGAACAATCTGACAAATTCTTTACAACGTTAAGTGATAGATTGACGGTCGTAGTTAATACAAATGATGTCTCCAGTTACTACGGACAATTCAACATGAAATACATCATGTTTAGTAATGGTAAGTTAAATCTTAGCTATGTCATGTTAAATTTATATAAGATAAAGTAAGCGTTAAAGTAATATTATGCCAATCTTATTGTAAATTGTGAATGAACAGGTAAAAGTGCAAAAAAAAACAAATACATTTCGCCTTACTTGATTTTATTAGTAATTTTGGTATTCTACTTCACAAAAATAATCAATAACCCACGTGTCTCATGGAAAAGTCCAGAATGTATCTGATAACGTTCAATGAATAAAATGAGTCGGGCAGTATTTTAGAATTATAGGCAGTTTTTGTATTCTATTCTTACCACTTTTTTATCATTATGTTTTGGTCAATGACCATTATCATAGTCAATCTTTTGAAATATACACTAGTGAAGCTCGACTTAACCATGAAAAAAATGAGCATAATGTCACAAAGAAGGAATGTCTTCATGACAAAGAACAATTAAAAGGACAAGATATTCCGAAATGAAATGATCAGATTTGTTCACATTTTAGCACTATTTCCTGAATGATTGCTATGGAAACCGGTAAAACAATCCTTTCAAAGAAAAGTATTGTCATACTTGTGTCAGATTAGCCGTTCCTTTGATTTTATTAATTTTACTTGAAATAATTGTTACATAAATACTGATGACATTTATGTCATTTTTATGACTATTTAGCTTCATTGACAATAGACATGAGTTTTCTATATTTTGCAAAATCAAAATATGACAACAAACAAACATATAAATATACGAACTAATAGCAAACAGACCAATAACAGATACATCAGCATAGATTCGTCAAGGTCAATATTCAGTGATACATTATATCATTATATAAACTTTTTGTTTGGCATTTAATAGTAATGAAATATTTATAACCATACAAGTTGTAAACTACAGACAGTAGAAACAAATATATAAACAATATTAGTAGCTTTTTTCGCGAACATAGATTTAAATATGTTTGAAAAATGTTCAGATATTTGTTATCTAAGCTGATATCTATACCAAATGAACAAATCTAGAAAAAACACCCTTAAATTTAATAAGGTTTTTTCTTTTGAAAAAGGAACTTTCCTTCGACGTTGCAAAATACATGAAATGATAAAACATGAATTTCTAAGTCACTTGCATGCATTTTTGTTGTCTATGAAGAATCTGACACATTTCCAGATGGTCTCTTTTAAACCGTTTCGAAAAAGTTTGCATTCTGCATCATAGTGGAGGTCTCAAGAAGTCACACACAGGGGACATTTTAGACATATTATTTTGAATCACTTCTGCAGCTTCGATTCATATTACTTCATATAACAGCACAGAGTCATTTCTAGGTTTTATGAAGCATAACAAAATGTCATATGAGCTCTTCATTCGGTAACTATCATTCATGTTAAAAGCCCAAACAACTTCCGTAGCGACAGACAATATATTTTCTGAAAGAATGTAAACCATTTCATAGATATGTGAATATATAATCATTTCCACATGTACAAACATTCTTGAATATTTTCACAATTTCATCAATTTGTATAAATATCTCTGTAACAAATGTATGTAAAATATGATATTTATTTATTTACATTTCCTGGAATGTTAACGTTTCAATTTAAGATAGAAAAGTAAAGGGAAATTTAACCATTTCGGGTAGACTGAAACAAAATAATATTCATTTTTGCAGGGTATTATGAGTATACAATACCTTTATTAAACTGACATTTTGTTTCCATTTCACAATGATGCCATTTCTTTTCCTTACTCCTTGCGTGCTTATTTTTATTCTTTTTCAAGTCATCGAACGAGAGCCGAAATTTTGAAACGATATTTGATATTTTTTGGGTAAAAACCACCGTCTTACATAAAGATACTCTTAATATTTACTCTCCTTTGTGGCAAGCATAATAAATGTACATACAGTTTGTAATTCAACGATAGCTTCTTGTTATAAAATTTAAGTGTCATGAAATGTCTATGTCTATTTAGTTATTTGACATATTTATTTACAGGTCCATGTCACAGTGAACATGTATACAAATGTTCAAATGGACGCTGCATCCCAAACTATTATCGTTGTTCGAGTCAGATTAATGCTTGCTTGACAACAGAAGCAGTGTGCAATCGAACTAGAGATTTAAAAGTCAATGATAGTACCCGTGACAAGGAACCGAAGTATTTACAGAATTTGTATACGTTTGCTTCATTAGTAATATTCGGGATAACCGCACTCTGCGTTTACAGGAGACTGAAAGGGAAGCCATGCCGATCACATCCAAACCCACGACCAGACGCAACAAATCAGGTAGCCGTTTTCATCACTTAAAATATTTTACAATCAACTTTGAAATAACATTTTTTTCACATATTCTTCTCTTTTTAAAATTCTTTTTAAAATCATTGCCTGTTGAAATGTTTGCAATGTCAAATATGTTGTGTTACGATTTAAACTCTTATTTCTTCATTTCAGGGCCGAGGCTGGGGACCAATTAATATTCAATCTAATTCAGCACCAGATGAGCAAGTACCCTTTTCAAACACAAGTTTAAACGAAGTTAATACTATTGACACATTATCTGTCAGTCTTGACAATTCACTCCCTCCTGAGCAAGTAATTTTTCCAAATAGATACATGCTAGCCATTACGTATTCAGATCATCCGCCTTTATACGAAGATGTCGAAGATAATAATGATAACAATGGAGATATTCTGCCAAGCTATGGCGACGTTGTAGCTAATCCTACAGAGTACACTCATGTTTCACAAAGATGATATCGCATTTATCTAGTAGAGGGAGAATAGGGTGAAAAAACTTTTCTGATATTGAGGATAAGTGGGAAGACGGATTGACGTCGTCATTTGGTTTTGCAAAGCGAACAGGGAATTTTAATTGTAAAGTGACTTGTTTTTGAAAGCATAGCAGACATGCCAAATCACCTCTTCCAGGCTTCCACTGACGAATTTGTAATGAAAAGTTAGCCAAATAATTGTGATTGCCTTAATTGACCAAATTTTGTAAATAATTAAAATCCAAGGACCCATTCTGAGTATTGTTTTGATAAATTTGTTGTATTAATTATACATAAAAGTCAAGTAATGGTAAATTACATTACATAATTAAATTCAGCAAAATATTTGATGAAATCTGTGATGTATATAAATATAATGAAATGTATTTTCCATTAGTTATTCGTTGGTTAAATAATTTCAAATGTGGGTTAAACTTGACTGACGATACATCACATGCCCGTCGGCCTAACACAGCAATGTCTGTCAAGATGGTTGCTTAAGTGAGAAAAAAAGTTAACACCGGTGCAAGAGGCTGGCAATTAGCTAGTATTGTTTGCATCTTTTCATAAGCAGATCATACCATTCTCAAACATGTTTAAAAATGAGAAAGATCTGTTCCTCATTTATTGAATGATGAGCAGAAATAGGTTTGCATGCAACGCGCTTATTTCTTGCTTAAAAAAATTCCAAATTACAATGCACGGTCTTTAGCAAATGTCGTCACTGGTGTTACAGGTGCTTAAATTACTATAGAAAATGTAGATAAAATCCTGAAACAGTATTTTGACTTGTATTTGATTTTCCCCTCAAATATAATATCCAATTTTTTATTAACTGTAATTAGACTATATAGCTGTAGGTCGTAGCATAGTGTGTAAAATGCCGTTTCAGGTAACATTCTATTTATCTATCTCTCTAACTGTGCACTTTACACCTTATTCTATGTAATCATTGAATTGTATATTCGATTGAGAAATGCATTTGAATAATTGCAAAATAAATATTGTTTTATATATATATATTCCAGGTAATTTTTATAGCATCGTGTTTGATATACATGTTTCTACAATATTGTATGTTAATATGTTAATCTGTTTCGTAAATAATGCTTTTGATGATGTTTTTCTATGCGCCTTGTGTAAACTATATACGTCGCCATATTTGTTCATTGTTTACATTGACAACATCGATGAGACTATCATGTAATCATTGAATTGTATATTCGATTGAGAAATAAATTTGAATAATTGCAAAATATATATTTTTTATATATATTTTCCAGTTAATGCCCGCCGTCAGACCAGCTTATAATCCTCAATCCTCAGTCGACGCACTTATAAACCTTATCTACAGAATCATATAACAGTTATATGAGAACCCATACTGTAACACTGGTGACAAAACATGGATTCATTTTTATGAGCCAAAACGAAATCACCAAAACAATATTTGGGCTACAAAGTCTGACAAAAAACCATGCATGGCAAAAAAGGACCATCAGTATATATATAAAGAAGATAACGTATGCCATTTTCTTTACATCTTAGTGTCCCGAAATTTAAATGCAAATCTGACAACGCGTCATCACACAAGGCGCCTATAGTGCAAGACTTTTTGAAGCAGAAAAAAGTCGCTGTGATCCTTATCCTCCGTATTCACCCGACCTTGCCCCTTGTGATTTACTTTTGTTTCCAAAACTTAAAAAAAGTACCTTTCAGATCGAAAACTTGCCCAGCGCAAACTGATTGTTTCCATTAATATCTTTGTTGTCTCGAACTTTGAAGATATAAATACCTGAAATAATGAGACGCATTTTAATATTACCAGATACATGGATTTATGGAAAGAAAGAGCAACATCAACTTCCAGTTAATACAAAATGATGATGATTTTGTTTCCTCGTCTTTAACAATTAATGTTGTGGCAAAATTGTTTTCACATATGTAATTAAAAGCACTGTAAACTGTTGTATAACTTGAGACAGTATTTTATTTTCTCATTTATTTGCTTGCGAGAAAAAGACACTCTTATTTGTTCTTACATATTAATAGGGTATTTGCCGACGTTCATTTTTCTTTGTAACGCTATTTATTTATAATTAGTTTATTATGTTTCATGCTTAGGTAAATAAGAAAAGAGACTTCTTTGTAATGAACAATGAGCTTTGAAGTTAAGCCATCTTATTAGAATATTTCTATAATTACCAAATCTTATCAGCCAAAGGAGACACAATTTGAACTAACTTCATTATTTTTACGCTTATACGCCTCTTCGCGTACGCGTTTGTCAAGATTAATTTACGCATTTGTCTTGCGCATTTGAAACTCGATTAAATTCGCTAGTAGTAAGGGAAATGAAAATAATTTGCTGTTATTTGGACGCGGGGAACAGACGCTAAGAAAGTTTGTACCTATTAGTGCCACTATTACATTGTTGAAAAGGGAAGGCCAAAACATGTTACATGTATTAAATAAGATATTTTATTTGACATAAATAATAGAAATAACGAGCAAGTTAAAGATTTTTTTTATGGATCAATGATTTGTTATAGAATGTAAATAAAATGTCATAATTCATTTATCAAGAAATTAATAGTGACTATAGATTATTTTAAGTGCAGCATTTGTTTACTTGAGACGATAACAGTTTTTGAACTGTATAGTCATTAAAAAATCCATGTGAGGAATCTTTAATAATTTGATGGATCACAATATAAGCAATATCAAGTAACAAGTACACTGCATAAAAAGGAAATTATTAACCATTATTAACATTTGTAATTTAAAATAATGCATTTCTTTAAACAAGGCGGACAAATACCAACAATTATTTCTGTATTCAAAACCATATTTTATTCATTAGCTCGAAATCGAATGCGTTACAAAAAAGACGCGTAAAAATTATGCCCAACTTTATACTTCCGGTTCTACGTGAAGATAATGGTGGGACAATTAACACTATGTGTTATGTGAATATATTGACCAATGAAAGACTTATGTCTTAATACTAACATCGATTCTTGTTGCGCTTTTCCGTATTGAAGAGACTTATTATTTACCAAATAGGTTTTAATGTTCGTTGATGTTCAATGTCGTTAATCGGTTTAGATGAAATCTTTTGTTATTCTTAATCATCTAGTTATCCGAAGTTCTAAACGACTTATACGTGACATATAAATAAATCTCCAATTTATTTTACATTTACGAAGATACTTCAACAGAGAACTACTACAGTTATAATTTAATCTTCTTTGGCAAAGAAGCAGACATCCAGTTAGTTTTTTCTGCATGTCTGACAATGGAATCAAACATAACAAAATTTGGTGTAAAAGATGTAAAAGAGAGCTTAAAAATGACAAATAACCTTAAGAAGTTGTTCATAGTATTTTAGAGATTTTTTTGAGTATTTGAGTATGGTATAATTACGTTATCAATTAAATTTCGATAAGTAAATATTTAATATTAACGGCATTATTATTTAATTTCCTTTTCATTTTTAAAGTACAAATTGCACTCTTACCTACTAAGGTTATGTACCCTGCAAGTAAGAATGACATACATACAGAACATTTTTTTAAAAATAGCAAATACATGTAGTATTTTGTAAAGATCGCACATTGTTTGATTTTTCCCGCCTAAAATAAAGTTAAGGCAAAATTGATGGGGACAGTTTACCGTATCATATACAACACCCACTAGAACTGATGCTTTCGGTTATTTCACTGCGATAGAGAGGGTATCAAAAATGGACCACCATCTAGCCGTCCAACAACAACAAAGTCCAAAAAAAGTTGCTGTAAAGGAAGATATTCACTATACAATGTAGGAAATAAATATGTACATTTGAAGCATTAATACGTGACGCCGTCATCAATTTTTCATATATTGTCAGACATTTTGAAGTTACGTAAGGATTCGCTTGATGGATATCCATCCTCTCACTGATGACTAAAAATGTAGCGTGTGCGAAGTGTGTCACAGCTGTTCCGTAAGTACAAAAATGTTGACCTTTATGAAATCGTGACTGGCTGTAAAACATTGGTTTCAGAGCCAACGGGATAAGGGAGAAATGGCGTGGATTTGCATGCACGGGATCAAGCTTGCTCCTTCAAGACAAGGCAGTTGCCCATAAAACATCTGTATTAACGACAGCAATTAGAGCACGTCCACATCATCTTCGATACAGCCATCATCTCGCTCGATGTGTTTTTGACTGAATCCCTATTTAAAGAACTGAAAAATTGTCATTTTGAGTGTCGCCATGCCGTCAGCGCCATTGACAGCGCGCTTTTCCAGTGCCTAAATACAATACTCAAAGAAGCCTTTCACAATGCTGGTGAAATTAGTGGCTTGGAAAGAGGATCCGAGTAAAAGAGGATTTTTTAAAAGGGTTTGACATAGAAATATACGGCCTTTCAATAACCACATTGAAAAATAATTTTCAAATACCCCCCCCCCCCATAATTATAGGCTAGAATAGATATCTAATATTGTTTCTATTGTTAATTAACATAATTTATAAGTCTTTCTAATCTAATTATAACGATACCGTCATTAGATATACAGATTGTAATGTTACAATTCTATGTAATCGATTTTTCAGATTTTATTTGATACCATTTGATAGTTTAAGAAAGATATAATTGGTTACAAACAATTACAATAATGGTTAATATGATAACTTTTTAATCATAATATATCTGTTGAAGAACGAATAACGATTTTAAGGGAAAACTTCGAGTTAAGGGGAATTTTTTCACTTAAGATTCTTTATGAATACGGCCCCTGATGTTCACTTTACCCATAAGAATTAAATAATCATAAATTTTGAATAGTTAGCGAGATCAGGGCTGTATCAAAGATGATGTGGTCATGTTCTAATACTGTTGTCGTTAACACAGATGTTTTACGGATGAAATGATCAGGAATCACGAATAACTTGTCAATCCAGCCACAGTAATGTTGGACAGAACACATTATTATACAGTAGTG